TGGGCTCAGATTGGTCACCGATGATTGGACTAAAACATTTCATATTCGATGCATTCTTTAAATAAATCTCGGATAGTCAATCTCTGAGAGTGAAACACATTCACTGTGATGTCATAACAAACAAACTCCTCTACAGCAGCGTATGCGAGAAGGTATAATACGTCAGAATTATGTCCACGGTGTGATGTCATCATCCAGTGGGGCATTGCTTTCTGTGAGAGTTTGTAATAAAGATTTGTTTCACGCCCGAACACAAAATGTACAGTGACTGGAAGCAGTTGCCTCGGTTGCACATTTTTTTCGTTTTGAGAATTGAAAGAATAAGAGGAATTACCTGGCAGTGGATATAAATCCATACTCATATCCGCAGGTTGAGGAGTTATTACTGTAGTTTTAACATTAATAATAAGATTTTCCAATAGTGTACCTGCTCAACATCCAGATCAATGCATTATCAAGCACAGGAGTTTGCACCGGCTGGATGCATTCCAAAGGATCTCTTGTATGGAGAAGTTTTGGATACCGTAATCCCACGGAGGTGACAGGATCAGGTTTAAGCTGTGCCTGTAAAACTTCAAGTTCATCTTGTATCTATGTATGTTGAACTTCTTTCGCACCATTAAGCCTAGGTGTTTAACATGAATAGCTCAAGCTGAGGAGCTAAAGCTAGCAATAGGTCCTGCTGGAGGGCTCCACTGCAGGTACCCAAGGAGCTGAAGCGAGGTGGTTGAGAGGAACGCATGGAGAGAAACGTGGAAAGCTCAGCTGGACTCAGGCTCTGCCTAGCATTGGCTTTATTTGCTGACTTTTTGTCTTATGCCTGCACTGTTTGTGCCACACTCTGGTGTTTTATACTATCATTTTTTTCAAGATGAGCAAATGCCAACATCAATGTCAATAAAATGAGTTTCACAAGTTGGAATAACAAACAAGCAAAACGTAAACAAAAATGTGGAGGAAAGCAAAAGTAGCCTGGACATTGCTGAAATAAAAAAAACAGCAATCACTTCAAACATACTTCACATTTCTTTACGTTTCATTCGTCAATTTGATCTGCCTGTTTATCATGGCCATATTTATTCACAGCCTCGCTACAGTGCGAAAGCAAATCATGAGATGTGCCGGGACCAGCTTTTAATACAAGCGGGGTGAATCATAGCCCTCAAAGTGGAAAGAGGGGATTTCCCCGCCTCTCTCCTCCATTATTGCCAACTTTACTCCACTCCCAATGTTGCTGTGTTGGCTGGCGCTCGCTGCAGAAGCCATTCCACCCACGGACAGCTGTGGGATTGTCTCCAGGGGGGCTGGCCTCACAATGGAAAGGTCACCCCGTGACCCCGAGCTGATGCCACCACCCACTGCCACTTTTTCAGTCGGGCGGCAGGGCTCGGAGCCTGCATCCGCCACCGCTCACTTTGCTCTCGCCTCGTGTCAACTCTGGCAGCGTATGCATCCAAGCAGTGGGTGGGAGAGTGGCTCCCTCCCCCCCCTTTCCTATGGCTTTTTATGTTCAAGTCTTTTATCTTTTGTCGGGCTGTATGTGGGTACGAGTTCCAAAGGATCACACAAGCAACACTGATAAGCATTTGTTTGTGGCTATCAGTATTAGCCGAGAGGTTATCCCTCTTCCAGTAAAGAAAACAGTTATGTTATACCATGGCTGGCTCAAACCTGTCTCACCACCAATGCATTTTGTTGTTCTGGACCCACATCGTATTCAGCAGATTGACAACTTTAAATAATTTGGCATTATCCTGGACTCAACTCTTTCAAGACCCACATTGACTACATGGCCAACAAGATAAAACCAAAATTAAATTCCTATACAGAAACACATGCTGTATTCCACCTCTACTCTGTCTGACTATAGTTAAAGCCACCATCCTGCACATGTTTAATTTTTGTTTTACCACCTACTGCCTAGCTTCTGAATATACCTTAAAACGCCTTATTTTAACATACTGTTTGGCCCTTGACGCCCTTCATTCTTGCAGCCTGCACATTAACTTGATTCTGTCCCCCCTGGATATCTGGAGTGACCATCACTGGGTTTGTCTTCATCCTAAACATCTTAAACAAATCCGTCATTGACCCAAAAGACCACTTCTTTCCTCGAACTCCCTCCCACAGCCTCTGAAGTTCCTCCTTGTTCCTACAAACAATCCATTGGTGAAAATTTTTGTTTTGGTTAAAAATAAAGGTACATCTTTCCACGTTGTTGCTCTGCATTTTTGTAGCCTTGCCGCTCATCTAGAGCTGGGTTCTCTCTCTTCACTTACCCTATTAAACCACAAAGCGTACTTGTAGCCGTGCCTCTTCTCTGGCACCTCTTGGCTCTCCACATGTTCGCGCTTTCTTTTTCGATTAGCTCATGTTTATATCACTGCGAGACTAAAATATATACAGGTAGTCCCCGAGTTACAATGGTCCGACTTTCGATATTTCCGACTTGCAATGGGGTCGTCGTAACGCATCTCCATCGTAAGTAGAGGACTACCTGTCCAGCTTACTTGCACCTGTAACAGAACTTTTCCCGGTGCCTCTTGCTCTCGTATTATGTTTCTACTGTTATATTTTTTATTTGTGTGCGTTTGATATACGACCATTAATTACCTATTTTTTTTCGTTGATACTATTTCTTCAGGTCCCTGTACTCGTTCTATGAAAATATTATTGTTGTGTTTGTCTTGTTGTTGCTGTGCTCGCACACAAACGCGGATCTCCTTTGTAAAATAGCCCAGCAGCTGACAAAACGGGATCACTTGCGTAACAAATCAAATTAACTAAACAGTGCCGTGTTCCAGAAGATGACGAAGACACATAGTGTCTTTGTACTTTTTTTCTCTGAACAATATAGTTGGTTAAAAATAAACAATATCCTCCTGTAGTGATTGGCAAGTGAACATGACTCTTTTTGACCAATAACCACGTGGTAAGGCATGGTCTATATCCCAGCATCGCTGTGTTACTTATATCCCACGTCATTGCTATTTTGGCTCCGACAGGTTTATGTATGGTCGGCTTTAAATATATATCTTTCCAGATAGCAGGGAGAAAACAATCTACTAAACTGACCTGCTGCTACTCATACATATTCCATCAGGGACAAAATGAGTTTCAGATGATTCGATAAGTATTCTCAAAATAAACTGCACAGCATGGAGCGGCAAGGAAATGAAATACACGAGCACCTTTCGCACCACACAATGTCTGCGTAATATTAAAACTTTCCTTCCAAGGCCACAACTAATTAAATTAAAATGACTTATGGCAGAGAGCAGACAAAGACAGACCTCTCTTCTCTAGAAATGCATGTTCCAACTTTCCCAAATCTCGTGAAACGTGCATGTAGCCCCACAATTGCAGAGCTAGCAAAGGTTAAAATATGGATAGCTACACTTGGAATTTAGAAAGCAGTTTGATTTGGAAGCCGGAAATCATGGCATTGTAATATGGCTGTGTTCATTCTCTCAATGGGAACTTGCTCAAGAGCAGCTTTTATGGTTTGTTCGTGAAGTGTTCAGATGGCGAAATGTAAAAAAAAACAAGTACAATGGGTTTATGATGATGAGCCATCGTAAAGAGCACTCGGCTTTGTAGGTACATATGGGTTGGGTAAGAAACAAGGATTTTACGTAACGTAGAGTAGAGCGGATGGCCTGTCGAGGACACATTTATGGACATCTGAAGGACCAGAGTAGTGCCTGAGTCGTCCCCAAAATAGAGCCTGCAATCAGCGGGAAGGTAAATCAATAAACGCAGTTCCTGCGTGATTATACGATGAATTGCAGCCGCACAGTGTAACAAGTGCCATGGTCAGCCATAATTGGGCAGCCCATGCGATGGACAGGTAACATGACACCTGACCCTTGTAAAACACACATTTACCACTCACCTGATACTTATCAGTCATCAGCTCACCTGTCTCTCACTAGTTTACACAATATAGTAGAAAGCCATTGAGATTGGTTGGTTCCCCTCGCCCCTGCACACATCTTTCCCAATGATGCACACATCATTCCCGGTGATATATACCTGTCCATTATATAATTTTGAAAAGAGTATTTCTTCACATGCCTGGGTATTCTAAATGGGAGAGCTGACAGCGCCAAGGCCGATCAGCCAAAGGTCGAAATTTCTCCATCAATTTGACCTAATTTGTATCAACTGTATATGAGATTTCGTTTAAATTGGTAAAGTGGTCTAGGAGGAGTTCTTTGGAGAAAGATAAATTATTACATACGTACATGCGTACAGATGAGCCGCATATATATGCCAGTGTTCTTCATTGCAAGGCCTGCGAGCCACTGGCGGCTCCTGGTGGCCTTTAGTGCGGCTCTTGACGTGTGGCCCCCGACAATACACAAATTTGAAAACCCCCCATCATCACCGTGCTGTCTAACCCCAATGGTTTCAAATGTGCGGTGGCCCTCACACTGATGTCTTATGGGTGACAGTGGCCCCCCTCTGTAACTTAGTGAAGAACACTGATTTAGACACAAGTTAGTATGTAACTTATACATGAGTTTTACATTTTTTTTATGGTTAACATATCAATGAAAACAATTTGCAAACATAGCTTTCTCTGAGCTGGATTCCAAATTGACTTTGATCAGACCTGTCCCGAGGCTTCCACGATTGCCGCGGTTCCCTGCGCATGTCACACTTATTCAATGTCTCAGCAAGCACTCGGCTATGCAGAGAACTTCATTGAAAAAAAAACTCTGGCCGTGCGACCGACACACGTCTCGTTGGCTAATTTCGGCAATGAGAAGTGATGAGGCTCGGGGCCACAGCACTGCCAAGCCCCCTGCTTTGTTTGGAGAGAGTCACGCATCGGCACGCGTGATTCCGATCGACCCCCTCCACTCCCCAGCTATGGGGGAAGGGCGGGTAGCGGTAGTAGTTCGGATGGCCGCTGCCCGATAATTAACGACTACAGCCCTTGGGTAACGTGTGTGGAGCCAAGTGGCTGTGGCTGCCGACCCCGCTGGGCTAGGGAGGGATTTTGCCGAGTGATAGCAACCCTAAAGCTGACCGCTAACAGGTTTGCCACCTGCTGCTGTCGGAGGCTCCAGGGAGACCAGCAGAGGCAGAGAGCGCTCGAGTTACCCCCCTTGTGCACGCACAGGCTGTGTAGAGATGAGAGCAGACTGGGGAGTGCTGTGTGTCTGTATGTCTGAATGAGTGGGTGGGTATATGTTTTAGGTGGAGGGTGGGGGAGTGCGTGGGATTGTGCGATGTCTGAGGTCTGTTTGTGCCAGCTGACGTCAAAGGCACCCCACGCCCCCCACCGCCTCTGTTACGATTCATAGCCACTGACATGCTCAGTCGTCATTGCGCTGTTAACGCGCTGGCGGGAGAGACGCATGCGTTGGTACCCTTTTCACCGGTCCACATTTCCAGCGTTACCGCGCATTCGGGGAAAGCACAAAAGAGCAAAGGCGTGCGTCTGAAAGGTTAAGCTGCCTCCGCAGCCCAGAGGCAGAAGAGAGAGGGGCATTGCAGCAATACGAGTGGGCTGTCCCTTCATAGGTGGAGCTGTAATACAAATGTAATTAATCATCAGCTAGAAGGAGTTGTGAGAAGGTTATTTAAACGGAGGCAGCCAAAACTGACATCGCTTCAAGATAAAACTCTGTTTCGTGTAGCTAGAAATAACTTGCCGTACCAGGAGCACGGCAAAAGGCTGAAGATACAAAAAACATTTGAAAACCATTATTAAGAACAACGGTCAGTGACAGCTAGAAAGGTAACGACCGTATTTTCAAGTACAGGAAGCGCTGCTGGTTGGCATTTAGCGACTGTCGGTGAAGATTATCAGATTAATAGAGGAAGGTTGGAAGGGATAGCCAACGGCTCGATATAAAAAAAGCCCACTGTGGCCAAAGCGAGACGAACATGCCGGTCAGCTGAAAGAAAACGGGACGATTCTTAATCCGAGCGGATCTTGGTGCCACCTGCGCAGTCGGGGCCAGATGTTTGTTAAGCAGACAACGCTCAAGAACTGGGAGGTGGAGGCAACAGAAAGTGGGGACGAGGTAGGCGCTACACACCCGGCACCCTCGGCTTGCGACACGTTTTTAACTTGATATGTACATGGCGATATCGACCAGACAAATGTAATTCGTCAGACTAGACACGTGCTGTCCGTGAAGCATGTTTCTTTTTGGCAGTTTAACATGTATTTATTTGCACGTATTACACATTTTATTGTACTTTTTAAACTCGGCTATATCTGCGGAAATATGTTTTATTTATGGGCTCATCTGTTTTTTATTCCCATATGGTCTGCTTTGTTTAAAATAATCTTTATCATCTTGAGGCATGGTTCATGTGACTTTGATAAATCCGCCTTTTTTGACATCAGTGTCCACAATCCGTTGTAGCTATAATGCACGTTTTTAATATATAAACTATCATCGCCTGTGTATGCGTGTTCACTTGCAAGCGGGCATAGATTACAAATGCAACCATCTTTATTTTTTTAAAGATAACATTTGGCTGTTACTTGTTGAGCCAAAACACATGCAAAATGGGACATTTGTTCTTTCCAATTCACTGGTCGTCACGCAACAACTAACTGGGGCCATGTGTTTACCTGCACATTTAAATTACAATAAGTGCCCTGGCTAATCTGTTGATAGTTCCAATTTAAGCTTAATTAGACTACTGCTTTTACAGTATTCCAAGGCTGAATGCTCTGTGTGGCTCAGTCAGGCCTGTTTGCATGCGACTTGCTTGTGGCTTGTGTTAATGTGACTCAAGCAGCAGTGCATCAATTATGAGTTTCTTTGTGGCCCCTGCACTGGTAAAGTCATTGGGAACCGCTTAAATTACTACCGCATTGTTGAACCTGGTAAGTGAACGGGCACATTGCTTGTGAATGGTCTGATGTTGGTTGTTGGTTATGTGCTCAATCAGGCACCATGTTATGTCCACTATAGACAGTGTCGCCAATATTCAGTGATGCTTCAATTTTAAGTCAAGGCGTTAATCACACTCTGGCTGCAGTTACATTGTAGAATACATACACCAGGTGTGTTTGAGCTTATGCGGATAGCCTGCACATTTGAATCAATCCACCCCTTAAGTCTCCACAATAGTTTTGCACCCACACATGCCTGAGATTCATGGTACCTGCTACAGCACGTCCCCGCGTGCCAGATCAGCATTTTGAATGAGTTATTATATTAATTATACGTTAATATGTTTAATCGTGTGCCGTTACAGGAGCCCAGCACGAAGAAGGTGAGGCCCCTCTCCCGCGTCGCCTCGCTGGCCAACCTCATCACCCCCGTCAAGGCTGGCACGGTCAAGCGGATCGGCCAGACCCTGCAGGTGTGTGCTGCAGCCTCGGCTCCATTCATCTGGGCTAAAAACATTGCCCTTTAAATTAAAGTCGTACAGCCCCTGGGTTTTATATGGAAGGTGCAACCAAAAGCAAAGACGAGAGATGCGAAGACTGACACAGACAAGGAGACGCGGAGACACACAAAGACCAGGTAGGCACATGGAGACACAGGCAGACATAGAAACACGGATGCACACAAAGACATGGAGATACAGACCGTTACACAGAGAGACACAGAGACAAAGAAACATATGGACACAGACATAAGAGACGTGAGGCCAGAGAGAGATAAAACAGAGAGATAGGGAAACCCTTTTTGGTAAGTGAACTTGGGCATGAGACGTCGCTAACCACCAACATCTACAGTACATGGGTTGAGAGACTTCTATACTCTAGCATCTCTACACCTTTGTGTGTCGCAGTGTTTGTCTCTGTATATCTGTGTCTGTGGGTGTCTGTGTGTCTTCATATCTCTGTGTGTCTCTGTTGCTCACACGGAGATGCAGAGACAGACGTATATGAAACTGAGCCATCCGCCCTCCTTGTGTTTTCACTGCTTGGGTCGCATACACATAGAAGCTCAAAATTTGACGACAAAAAGCCTCGGCAACAGATGGCGGCGATGGCGTGGGCGAAGGCCATTGTACTCCTAAGGAGCCAGGCCCAATGCAAGCAGTTCCTAAGACAGGGGTCACACCTTTAAAGCGGGCTGGGGCCAGCACGAGGCCCTTATCCTCCGCAGGACACCCCAGCGTGACAGGAGCCTGGTAAATGTAGGGTCTGAGAGCTGACGCGCCGAAGTGGAGTGCAGGTTATCCACGTGGCCAGCAGCCGCCCGCCAGTACCCAAAAGTTCCAGCTTGCCATGCTCCTCTGCGCGAGTGTGGGAAAAATGAATTCAGCCAGGAATCCTTGGGTGATACCTGCCTGCCTCAATGAGGTGATATACAATCACACGTGCTCAAAACGACACGGGGTACCCTGCCGATGTTGCAGAAGAAGAAGAAGCAAAAGTGGACCGTGGCCTTTTAAGAGAGCTTGAGCCAGGAATGCGGCCCTGACATGAATGCACCAAGTGTGCGAGCCCTCCCGGCAGCACACAGCTTGGACAAGTATTCATTCCCAGGGCGAGTGGTACTTTATAGACGAGGAACTCGTGGAGGAGGCCTCAGAAACAAGAGGGCCTGGCAAAATAACACCTTCGAAAGGCCCAGCAGAGGTCCCTCTCACAAGAACTTGGGAAAATTGTGTCTAACTTAGGGAAGACGATCCTCAACCTCCTTGTGGACAGTGTCCAAGCAGGTTGGGGGCCGCTAGTGGCCTGGGCCCTGCCCGGGCCCTGCAAGCCTCCCGCCAAAAAGGAAGAGCCGCCCGAGATGAGGCGTCCGGTGACAATGAGCTCTACTCATCTAAGAAACCAAAGACCAAGGAGGAAGGATAATGTTCAGAAACTCAAGCTCTGTCGAGGAGGAACCATTTTGCGAGATACTACCAAGGCACCTAGTGGGGTCTCAGGACGGTGGCCCGGACCCTCATGGTGGAGAGACGCAGAGGCCAATAAGGGCGAGAAGCCTGCAGTATTTAAAAAGCCACTGGTGTCAAACGAGGCAGGAAAGCCCCTGGACCAACATTTGGTTGACATTGTCCGATACGACTAGCCAAGCCCCCTGCAAGCTGTGCAGTAGATGGGGCAGGAGGTGGACTGCTGTTGGCCCCACCACGGCCGTGGCTGGGGTGCCACCTGACACTGTTTTCAGAGATATGGAGGGAAAACGACATGTGACGAGCGAGTCATTCTGACTATAGACGAGGTTTACGCTCTGGAATTCGTCGGGCCCTCTGAAAGATTTCTGGATGGAATCGTGGCCTCTGCTGGACCCGTTAATGAAGGAAGTCTTAGAAACAGAGTCCTTGAGGGACAATGGTCTGTGGCAGATGGAGGAAAGCATAAACCTCCTTGAGGTGAGAGCGATTCGGTTGGCGTTAGCTCCTGTCATTGGCGTGGTGGCAGGCCGGGATGTCCTGGTGTCATGCAACAACGTCACACCACCGATTTAGCACGGTTGGCTACGTACGGTGCGAAATACGTTCTAAATACATAGAGCAATAGCCATGGTGGACAAGCAGGGCTGTCCCAAATTTGACAGGCTCATGCAGAAATTGCATGCCCTCGACCTGGGCAAAACAAAATCAGGTGGGGCTGTTGGCTCTTCACCTCGCCAGGGTAGAAAAACGTATGGTGGATTGGCTGAGCCAAGAGAGAATGTATCTCGACAAGTGGGCCCTGCAATTGAAGGTGTTTAAGAAAAATGGTTCGCGTCCAGGAAGAACGCCGAACTGGAGCAGTTCGCATCCAGGTTAAGGCAACAAGAGGCAATGTTGACGGACGCTCTCGTTAGTGGGCTGGCAGCCCGGGCTACTTCTTGCCCCTATTCTCTATGATTCCCATGAGGATGGCAAGGAAGGGGGCCTCCAGGGTGCTGATCACGCCCAATTGGTTCCAGAGGTGATGTTTCTCGGACCTCCTGGGGTGCGTACAGTAAGCTTAACCAAATTGGTCTTGAGGTTCTTGAAGCAGAAGCAGCCCCCTTGTACTTGGGCGATGCCCCCTAAAATCTGCACATGTCCCGAATGTTCTTTATAAGCCACCGTTCCAGCTACTAGCCATGTGCTCAGAACATCTACTGACGCTAAAGATGGGTTTTCTCTTGGCCATCAACTGAGCAAGGAAGTTGAGTTAGCTGCAGGTTCTGGTGGCGGCCTATGGCCTCACCTTGTTTTTGTGGCTCAGGTGCTTTCAGATTTACACATGAACCAGGAAATCGTGCTCCTGTTCTTCTGCCCATGTACCTTTCAATCCCCTGAAGAGTTCAGGCTTCATAAATTAGAACCAGTGAGGGCCTTGGCTCTTTACCTGGACAGGCCCAAGGCCTGGAGGGAGTCAGATCAGCGTTTTGTCTTTCGTGGTCAAGAAAAGACGAGGAAGCCATTGTCACATCAGAGGATGGCCTCATGGGTTCGTGAGTGTATATCGGAAGCTTTTTAAGAAAAAGGGCCAGATGCATAGGTAGTCACCGACTCGCTCGGCATCCCTCCCACCATCCACTCAAATGTTTTGTTGGTGATTGGATCAGTTATTTGCGTTGCATTAACCCTGTTCAGTACCATGTGCCTTGATTAGTCCTGTCACTGCTAAAATGGCGGCAGGGAGGTCATGTGGTGCGAGGGCCTCCCTTGTGGGGGGAGGGTCGGAGTTCATCCATCCATACGAAGCAATTAAATAATTATCCAATTATAAGTTTGAGTGCCTGGCACAGAGATTAATTTCATTTGTATCTGAGCCAGAGCTTGTCAGTGACCACCTATGAAAACCAGGTTCTACATAAGTACTAAAACCCAGTTTTATTTTTTTGTGTTGCATATTACTTTAGATCTCACCTGTCGCCTTTGTTTGCATTCACATGTGGAGAGTAATTGTACCGGTTGCAGCGACAGCTTTGTTAAAAAATTTTGAAATCTGTTCCTCCATCTGGTCAAATTTGCTCAGGCATGAAAGATCGAGAAAGACTGTTCATGGTGAGGGCTTAACGGATGCATTGCGATGTTATCAGTTTTACTCTCCACTGCTTCATTGGTTTAAAAATAAGCCCCTGTGTGACAAACATGTTTGCGTATTATTGGCCAGCATGAGCCCTCTGTAAATCCATGTAATACGGTGAAATCGAAATTAACCATAAAATCAACAACTCATTGTGGGAAATGACAAGATTATTGATAAATGTGAGTTGTTGTTGCCGATTGGTTAAGTTTGCATGCTTGTTTTTTCAATGTACATCATCTGCATCATGTGAGCCCATTCTCACAGCAGCATTGCATAGTCAGTGACCATTGGGTATGTAAATTAGTGCTCTAAATTCAATTTCACAGGTTGCTTTTAAAACGCCGAGACATGAATAACAACTGAATTCACAAAGATAACGTTTTGTTATTAATGAAATTAATCTTAGGGCATACAGCACAGCTGAGGATGTTTTTCATGCAATTTTTTTTCTCCTTTAACAACTACAGACAGTGCCTAGGGCAAGCTAAATACTGTTATGCAACCTGTATGGTATTCATCAGTCATCATGAATACAAACTGTTTAATAAGGCCAGCAGCACGGCAATCACAAGACACTGCCCGATATGGAAATATAGCAGTACAATGCGTGCTGTGTGTTAGTTATATGTGTTTGAGCTAAAGCTGTTATAAAGAGAAAAAACGTTCTCTGAATCTAATGGAACATATGTTTGTGATGGTAACTTTTCTTCAAACAAGTGTTGAATAAAGATATCTTGATTTTTGAAAAGCCATATAATCGATCCGTAAAATTGTGCTCATTGAGAGATCAGTATGAGTACCTTGAGAAATTTATAACATTTTAAATGCCATGATATATCATTTAAAATTCCTGATTGGTTATGTTAACCCACTGGTGTCGGTTCAATGATTGTAGATGCAGGGGTCCTATGAACATTAAACTTTGGTTTAGGGACATTAACTTTAGGGGTATCTATGAAAGCCCCATCTGTCTGCTGACCTTGTTAACACCTGTATGGTATCACTGACTTGAACAATTCTACAAATCTCGTTGAGCCAGTTCTGAAATGACTGTGTCAGAGGGTATATTTTACAGGTCTTTTGTCAAACCATTCCGAGATCAAGGCCTCCCCCCCCCCCCCCCCAGACACTATGTTGTTCATGGACAGGGGTCGGCAACCAAAATAACAAGAAGGGCCATTTAAAAAATACAATATTTCAAGAGCCACAAACTCGTGTAAATAATGTCACGAAGCAGCCCTTTAAAGAGCCGTGTGAGGCTCCAGAGCCGCGATTTGCCGACCCCTGGTCACAGGGGTTGTTTGACCATATTTCACCATACTGGCCTTTGCAGGTTGGTGCAGGGGGGAGGGGACGGGATGAATGACCGGTTTCGATGTCACACACC